ACATCGCTCGTCACACCCCACCCGCCAATGGCACCGCCGCTCGGCGCTGACGTCACCACATCGCCCGATCGCCCCATTGCGGCGCGGGGGGCGGTGCCAGCAGTGACAGGTGGGACAGGCGGAGCGCGCGGCCAATCGCGACACAGCTCCGGAGCGGAGCTGGCCAATAGAGACAGGGAGCAGCGGCGAGCTGGCCAATAGAAACAGGGAGCGGTGGCCAGCTGGCCAATAGGAGCGGGGAGGCGCGGCGGGCGGGATGTGTGGTGCCCACAGCCGGCACTGGAGAGGGTCGGGATCGGGCTCCTTGAGCAGGGAGGGGCCTTTAGCTTCTGAGGGTAACCGGGAAACGCAGAATCAATGAGGCTGAAAAAGGCCTCTGAGGTCATCGAGTCCAGCCTATGACCGGACACTGGCATGTGTCAACCAGACCATGTCAACCAGACCATGGCACTGAGTGCCACATCCAGTCTTTGCGTAAACACCTCCAGGAGCAATGACTCCACCACCTCTCTAGACATTCCGATGTCTAAAGATTGAGTATTTCTAACATTCATCGCTGTTTATTGTCTTTTCACCCACCCACGAAAACGGAAGAACTGTGCTCAAGCACCGGCTCCTACAAATGTGCCGGTGTTTGTGGCAAACAGCTCCAGCGCCGAATTTCTGCTCGGTTCTGGGAGTGCCTCAGGCGGCGGCCATAAGCCCGGGACTGCAGTCACAGCTCTTTTTGGCACATTTAATCCTGGATGCTTTTCTTTGATCCGCAGCAGCGGCCCTGGAGCTGGAGGGGTTCAGCGTGTGCCGCACAGCTCCCAGCCTGTGGCAGGGGAGAGCGCTGGTTCCCCTCCTGCACCGACAGCTACAGCTGGGGGGAAGCAGCTCCTGGGCTAGTCAAGCTCTGGGATTGCCTGACTCGGCTCTTGAGGAGCAGACAGAGAAACAGTCTGTGGGTAGGAATGGAGCACAGGCAAGATGAACTAGTCAGACAGGGGAGTTTAGATACCGTTATAAATGCATATCGTATTATTGGCTTTTTGCAAATATTATAATGAATGTTTTATGTATAAGATTAGAAAATTTTGTTGTATTAATATAGTTTCCTTTATTTCTGTTATCGATGAAACTTAGAAATAGTGGTATAATACATATATGTTAGCCTATAACATGATATTAAAGCACAAACTATTTTTTTTATATAACACAGAGACTTAAAAAAGAAAACAGTCAGAGACTCCCCTGCATCCTAAGATTATCTTGTCTAGATGAAGACAAGCAGTCCTCCAAGCCCTCCAAAGGAAAAATTTATGGCACCCGTTATCGAAAAAAGATATGAAACCTAGGACATAAAACTTAGTCACGCTAAGAAGACTGATCTATTGGGAAGGGGGGCAAGGAAAAACTAAACAGAGGAACAGCAAAAATCCTAAGAAGAATGTCTGAATATGTATGAGAGTTTATGGATATATAGTAGGATTCTGTTTTTAAGGGACAATCCTTTGTTAGTAAGGTGTGCTCTCTTGGCTGAATGCAGAGACACCCAGCTGTATCTGTATACTTTACTTCATTGTTATCTCCTAATTGTCTTTTTATTAAACTTTTACATTCTATAAAGAAAATATGTGAACCCCTTTTTTCACAGATACACACAGATAACAAACTAGAAAAACTTCAATACCAGCCTCTAGAAACTTCACACCACCATAACTAAATACCTTCTCAGTAAGACTTTTTTGCTGGTTTATTGCTTGTCCACAGACTTGGATTTTTGACTGGATGCCATAAAAAGCTTAGAAATGACATTTTACATGTCTTGGAGGCATGGTTTGCTCTGAATCCCTCTCAGCTCAAGTTCTAGCATTTCAGTCTGGTTTCCTTGATTTTTCCTGTGAACAGGACAGATGGTCTGTCACTTATTGATATCATTAACAGCACAAATGTTCAAATGGTTAATATTTTACAGGGGGCTGGGGAGGGGGGTTATCTTACAGCATTTCCCTGTGCAGAGCTTGCTGAAAGAAAGAAGAGTGGAGGTGACTGAGTGAAGGCCACTTGAAACCAGCAGAGCATCAAAACTAAAAAATAAATAAATAAATACTGTAACAATGTGTTGGCTGCTACATATCCTTTTAACGACACGAAACATAACAAAACATTAGAATTAATGTTAATATTGTGTTATTCATTAATAAAATACAAATTTAATGTTATCACAAGAATGTTGATAATAAATATGTACTCTCAGAAAGGACAGAAATGTACACTGATTACTTTTTATTGAGTTTACTTTTCATTACTTTACAGATTACTTATTGCTGAGTCACTGGCACAAAAGCACAAAAAACTGGAGACTGAGCTTTGAAGAAATACAGCAAACATCCTTTGCGACACTGATCCTTTGCTTGTTTCATTGTTCCAGATAAAAAAAACCCCAAACTGTAATTTCTTTTCTTCTGTCATGTTTCTAAAGTAACAAAACAATCTACACAGATCTATAAAAAAGCAAAACTACTGAGATGGGCACACAAACCAGCATTTCATATGATGATAACAGAGTTGACAAGAAGCTCTCCTGTGAGTGAAGCTCTTTTAGAACACAAAATACTCCCCTGGGAGGCAGATATGTGTCTGTGCTTAGGGCACAGCTGGCACTGGACATTAGCAAGAGTGCACAGTGACCTTCAGGCTACACAGCAGAGGAAAAACAGGAAAAATGTCCTTACAGTCGATAGAGAAAAGAGGCTTTTCTTCCTAGTAATAGCTACTTAAAACTTCTATACAGCACTTTAGAACCTGACAGAAACAATTACATTTCCTGTCTTGCACAGACAAACAAAGCACTTCACCTGAGTTAACACTGGTGAGCAGCAAGAAGTGACAAGTCCTGGTGGATAACGAGAGGCAAAGAAGCAGGGGCAAAGGATGACAGAGATAAAACAAACAATTTTCACAAAACGAACAAGGGAGAGACTTCCCAAGCCGCTAGCCAGATACTTTCAGGATCAGGTATTTTATGTCACCTGAATCATCTTTTCTTTTGCTCCCCTCCAGACTTGCACTGCACCTTCAAAACTCTTTGTGCTGAAAATAAAGCATGCTAATTTTCTTAATGGATGCACTTCACTGGAATGTCACAACTTCTACTTCACTGGAATGTCACAACTTCTACTTCACCCTGCATAAACAGAATGCTTGAAGTGGCATATAGATGCTTTTGAGACTTAATTTTTGCATCTCCTGAAGTCTGCTGACTGTTTTCAAACACTCAGCTAACAAGAGAAAAACGGTTTCCTGTAACAACTGGGATGTCTTCATTCACCTGAAAATCCAACTATCTGCAAACCACTGACAGGCTTTTGGTGTCTACTAAGAGAAAGAGAAGTGCAACCCCCACCAAACTGAAGGAAAACCTTTTAATTCTCCAGCAAGTTAAACAAGATGATAAGCTACAAGATGAAATAAATGCTGAACAAACCTGGGATTTCACCCCAGCCTAGAATGCATAAACTCCTGAAAAATGCTTGCCCTCAGTTTTCAGATTTGCCAAAGAAAATTAACAGGCTTCTTTTCCCCCGTTCACATCCAAACGTCTTCTTTTTCAGCTTCCTGTTAACTTGCTTTGATGTTTAAGGCTTCCACTTCACCCTTCTCAGCTACAGAGCTATCCTTGTTCCTGGTCTCCCTAGAGAACTCCTCTTGTGAGTCCTTTCCTGCCTGGAGTCATAGCTCTTCAGAAAATATTTGTTTAAATGATCCACTCATGCTAAGTGAAAAACAACCTGGGTTTTATGTGAAATGAGAGGTAAGCACTTCCCAGTCTTAACTAATCTGCTGTTCCCTTGACTCTTCTTAAAAGGTCTCTTTCAGGAAAGTGGGTTGGCTTCAGCTCACTTCAGAGAAGACAGATGTCTTTGTTGTAAGAATGTAATACATCTATGCTAAATATATAAGTAGGATGTTGTATTTGCATTTTGTTCTGCTATCTCAAGCTGATGGAAAGAGTGCTATGATGGATGGCTTCCAAATGTTTTTATACAGCATAGGTGAATGAATAATGATATAGGAAACCACTCTTCTAGGAAGGAGTTATTAGGAGGTTTCCTATATGAATCAAGAAATAACCCTTGAGTCCTTTTCTCCCTTAGATTTTTTTTTTTGGTTGGTTAGTTTGGTTTTGTTTTTATTTCTTTGGTATGAGCTCTGGACAGAAGGCTTTGCCTTTTCCTGCTAATTTACAGGCTTGAAAAATACTAATTTGGGAGGTTTTGCTATTATTCTGTTCTGTTGCTCATTTCCCAAGCCTTCCATCTTGTCTTGTCAAGTCCAGCCTTGGGTCAAGAAGTCAATTTGCCCAGGACAACCTATCTTTTGCCACTTTATTTACTGTATGCTTATTTAAAAAGCTTCTTAGCTGTTGAAAAAATGCAGACTGGTACTGACCTGTTTCCCTAGGCTCCTGTATTGCTATCTATGTCTCTTGTTTTGTATCAGGTAGCTTGTGAAAAGCAGGTCGGTCTTTTGTTCTGTCCTTGCTCTTATACATTACAGTGCCTGCTACTCTTGCAGTGCCATGACAAAACCAAATCAGTAGCAGAGCTAGAGTGACAACAGGCCACGTGTCATTCTCTTCCCATGAAAAAGCAACTGGCCTGTGAATTTTCAAGTGAGGCACCCTGTACCAAGGGAAAAAGTTGTTTAAGTCCATCTTTCCTCATTTCAGTATTTTGCATTTCTTCAGGGAAAAAAATGGTTGTCTCTGCAATGCACCCTGCTTCTAGGGAGTGTGCTGCTCCAGAGGAGATGAAAGCTGCCAGCTGTTCTCCCCTGGAAATCTCTAATGTGGATCTTTGTACTCCTGCTGGACATTTTTTTTCCTTCATATATATAGCTAAAATTGTTACAGTACAGTAATGTTATATTAGGCTAAAGTAATTTTGGTAGGGATTATGAGGCTTATAAATGTCTAGTTAGAAACTGAACAGCTGAGAACTCAAATTGTCACTTGGCTAAGATGGCTGAGCCACCCACAACTGCACCAACTCTAAAGAGAGTTGGTGCAGAAAGAGAGAAATCATTGAACTGGGGCATTTGGTCAGGTTGTGTTCAGGCTTCCTCCTGGGCACTGCTCTTCCATCTCTTGTCCATCTCCTTTTGCCTGTGCAGTCTCCCCTCTTTTCCACTCCTTAAAGCCATTTAGCTATTCAGCTTTTATTGGCTTCGAAGAGGGGAATAGGCTAAAATTATGGGATGTTCTCAACCAGTTAGGCTGGTGATTTTGGACAATGACCTCCAGTAATGAGAATTATGCTAGTAAATCGGTAAACCACTATTTTTGTTACTGCTTAATACAGCTTTAAGATATGACTGCACAGAATTGAGTAGAAAGAAAAAAAGACAAATGAGAACTGCAGGCGAACTTGTAGTTGGGAAGCACATTAAAAGAAAATGTAATATTTCCAGCTCTCACTGACACATGTTCTTCTGGCCTTCTTACAGAACTCTTCTAAGGCAGTTAAAATAATCTGCTGGAAGAGAGAAAATAATTAAGCGAAGGCCTCTTTTGACTTTCACTATCTGCTCAATGAATAAGAATTTTAGGTGGAGGTTTATTCAAAGTGTTAATCAGCAGAGGAATTAATCCCATTTCAATTACGCGTTGTAGGCTTCAGAGTGAACAGTCTACTTGCAGAACGTCGTGGTTCGCTTTGATGCGCTGCCTCTGTCACTCCGTCTGCAGACACAGTAGCAAAACTCCACATTCGGTATCTCCCAGCCCTTCTGTATTAAAAAAATACGGAATTCCAGCGGTGTTTCAGGAAAGTTTCATCTCCCTTGCCAGTCCAGCTGATCCAGTGTTCCTGGAGGTTACTGACTAACTAAAGCAGCAGCAGTTTTAATTCGGTAACAGTAACGCTAAACTAACACAGCGTTACCCCGAGGGGCCGCGGTCGGGACGGAACACCCCCCCTCTCTTCAACCTCCGGCACTACGTGACCCGGGCAGCAGCGGGTCCGAGGAGTGCGGTGGTGGCGGGGCAGCTCCTGCCCGGCCCCGGGGGCATTCCCGAGCCCGGGGGCTGTCCCGGTGGCCGGGGCAGGGCCGAGCCCCCGGGCCGTGCCGGGCGGGGG